GGAAAGAAGTCGAACTGGTCGATGAAAGCCATCCATCGAGCGATGGTGCTGTTGACGGTGTCTTGGGTCTTGTAAAAGACCAACGGATTGTTGTCTGTTACCCATCGGAATTGGCTTCGACCAAGGAGGAAGTGCCGCCACCTCTTGAGCGGGTGGACGAAGGCGAGGAGCTCCTTCTTGCGTGCATCGTCAATGGAATGCACGACGGGCACTTTCTTGCTGAAATACTCGACCGGGTGCCAGTCCACACCATCATATTGCTCAAGGACTGCACCAATGCCATAGCCTGACGCATCCGTAGTGACGCGCGTAGGCAAAAGCGGGTCGTATATCCGCAAGATCTCCGCGGATAATAGCGCGGCTTTGAGAGCCAAAAATGATTCTCGCGCCTCCTCTCCGAAGTCAAATGACCGATCCTCGCATTGAAGCTTGGTCAAGTGGGCCGCGATCTTCGAGTAGTCTTTGATGAAACGCTGATAGTAGCCGGCGAGACCAAGGAACGAGCGGACATCCGTGACGTTCTGAGGCTCCGACCATTCTTGGATGGCTTGAATCTTGTCCGATAGCGGACTGATGCCCTCCGGTGTGACAAAATGGCCCAAGTATTCCAGCTCTTGCTGGACAAATTCGCACTTGTCGCGGTTGGCGGTGTACTTGGCGTGGAGGAGCGTCTCCAACACTCGTCGAAGATGCCCAAGATGATCCTCCAATGACCGGCTATAGACAAGAATATCGTCTAAGTAGACCAGCACGAACCGGTCCAACATTGCACGGAACTCATTGGTCATTGCCGCTTGAAAGGTCGCCGGGGCGTTGGTGAGGCCAAAAGGCATGACCACCCACTCAAAATGCCCTTACCACGTCTTGAACGCGGACTTGTAGCGATCGTTCGGCCGGATCGAGATTCGATGATATCCCGATTTCAAATCCAACTTAGAAAAGTACTTTGCGCCGCCCAGTCGCCCAAGAAGATCGTCGATGAGGCCCCGCATTCTTGACGGTTTGCGCGTTGAACTTGCGGTAGTCGATACACAATCGTAGATCCTTGTTCTTCTTCCGGACGAAGAGAACCGGTGCTCCATATGGGGAGCTACTAGGGCGGATCCAGCCCTTGGCCAACAAATCGTCGAGTTGTGCGCGGAGGACCTCAAGCTCCTCCTCGCTCATGTGATAGATGCAACCTTTTAGCGGCACGGCACCGGCCTCGAGAATGATCTCGTGAGAGATCGGCCGATCCGGCACCACACCGGTAGGTGACTCAAAGATGTTAACGAACTCATCCAGCAACCGCACCACCCGGGGGTCCGAAGACAAGTCCGTGGGTGAAGCGTCGGCTACCGTGACGGTCCGTAGGAAACATAGGCCGATTTCCTCGGGCTGCTCGTAAGTGCAAGTCGCCCGTAATGATTTGGCGGTCACCACTTGGCACCGAATCGAAGGGTGCGGTAGAGGAATAGTACACGCCACTTTCGCGCCGAAGGCGTCGCGAACGCTAAGAGTCCGTCGGTGGAAGTTGACCGTGTGATCCGCACTTGCAAGCCAAGGCATTCCCAGAATGATGTCGAAGTGCGTGTCGAGAATATTGAATGTCACCGGTTCGCTTGCATGAGGTGCGAAATAGACCGGTACGGCCTCGATGTAACGGTCGAGAAGTTGCTGCGTCTTTCCATCCGCCAACTTGATCGCCGTCGGGTTTGCCTTCCTCCGAACTTGTGCGCCAAGGCCAGCCCTTTGCATAAAGGATTGGCTCATGAAATTGTGAGACGCGCCGCTATCCAACAAGCGCTGCAGGACGCTTGCCCAACTTGAATGCGGACATACATGAGCGGTGCGTTGTTGTCATCGTACCGCTGGGTGCGAAACTCGCGGGCCACCTTGGTCGTATACGCAAGGATGTCCCCCACCGCGACTTCGTCATCCGTCGGCGAAGTTGGTGGTGCATAGAAGGATAAGTAAGTGTGGAGATGAGCGCATAGTGCTGCGCATTGCGGTCCCGGCAAGCGGCCTGTGGTCGGGAGAGGAAGCCATGCAAAGTCCTCGGACGTGAGTGGGTCCAATACCTCTATGTTGAACTCGCGCGCCGAATCCCGTGAAGAACCACTTGAAGATGATATGTCGCCGTTGCCAGACGGAGAAGAAACCGCACACACTTCTTCTCCTTGAGCTTGAGTACCCAGCGTAGGAACGAGCCGGGCAGCATAGTCCTCAAAAGAAAGTAGAAGAGGAGGACTTTCGACTTCCGCGTGCACCTCAAAATGAAGACCGGTCACTCGCGAAGAAACCGGTTCCGGAGGCGTCGAGAGTGTTGTCGAGTCACTCCCGGCGGTGCTCAGTTTCCGTGTTTGCCCTTGCCTTTCAATGGGCAGACCAACGTCTGATGAAGGTCACTGTTGCACCATATAGTGGAATCTCGTGCACGCCTTGAAGGCTTGCTCGGAGATGTCCTACTGGGACCAAGGGGCTGGAGCTGTTGCGCCGGGCCCGGGGCTAGATGAGGTGTGTGTCTTCATCTTGCCGCCTCCTCGGCCTCTGCCGGGGCGGCCACCTTCCCGGGCGGCTGCGAGTCTGTCTCCTTCATGGGCAGACACAGCCTCGCTGGTTTGGTCCAATGGCGTTGCCGCTGCGACCACGGCCACTCTTGGCCGATGCTGGTCCCTGCTCGGGCCTGCCGCGGACGAACGCAGATTCTTCGCCTCCTTGTTCGTAACAATGATCTGCGCGGCTTGTCAAACGGTTCCGCCGTTGTCGTCAAGGTGCCGCGACGAGCACCGGGGACTTCAAAGACCTGCGCCGGGCCATTTCACTTAGGCCCGTGCTTGGGCGCCCACAACACCCATGCCCCGGCTCCGCGGCTTGTTATGAGAGACCCTAGTGGGACTTAGCTGCTACAAGGCCGATGGGGTGGTGGGCCCTGCTCGGAGGAAAGGGAGTAAGGACGAGCGAAGTAGAGGTAGTCTGGGCTACCGCAGCGGAGGCCAGGGAGCACAGTGGCACCGCAAAGGTGCAGGGAGCGAAAGGTACCGTGTCAGAAGGCACTGTGAGGGAGGGCGCAACAGTGAGGATCTGCCGATCGCTCGATGGACCTGCGGACAGAAGACGCAAACCTTGTTAGACCGACCGGTAACGGGCTCCTTGCAGAGTTTCCCTCAGGATAGCGGGAGCTGTTGAGTAGCTCGCGGGGTGCTACAGGATCCGCTACTGCCGGAGGCAGTGTTGGCCAAGGCAGCAGAGCGGGCAGCCACAGAAGCAAGGCGGGGAGCGACGGGCAGCAGCAGGGAGAGTCGGAGGAGGAACCAGCAGGCGGAATGAATCGGGGCTCGTTTCAGCGCCGGGTTCATTCCAAGAAAGCAGCTATGAGGGGGGGAGTAAGTAGAAGTTGGAAAGCATAAAGCTCGAAATATCAGAAATCGGGCGGGGACAGAAGAGATTCCGAGATTTTTGTATTGGGCGACTCTGCCTTTTCACGTTAGAACTAGTAAAAAGTTAGTAGAGTTAGGAAGAAAGAGGGGGTCCGCGGAGCTATGGCAGGAGGCGAACGAAGGCAAAGGAGGCCGAAAATGAACCTGGGCGTGAGAGGGCGCCAGGTGCATTCAGATGGTGAGGGAAGCGACAGCGGGCGGAGCAATAGCGCGGTGAGCGACGGGCAGCAGGAAGGAGAGCGCATAATCACAGGGGAGGCACTGAGAAGGATCGACGAGCAAATAGCGAGGCAGAGACACAGCGGGCGACGGGCGGTAGGCCGGTGAGGGAAGACAGAGGACGAGAGGTTGGGAAGGAAAGGGGCATCGAAGTGGCACACCCACAGAGGAAAGACAGTGAACCCAGACGCAGGCAGCGCCAGGTACATTCAGGATTGAAGGAGGGGTGAACGAACCTGGCTGGGGCCCTGCGCTAGGTACAGCCATAGTTGAGGTGGTGGGAATTGGCTATGGTAGGAGCGAGGGAGTAGAGAGGGAGAGAAACGTAGAACTCACTTGATTCTTGATGAAATCAGGTGAGAAAAGGTGCTACGTAGGGGTTAGAGGCCCGGGCGACCACGAATCTGTGGTCGGATTAAACGATAAGTTAGTAGTTTAGAGGTTAGGCAAAAAACGGGGTGCGCCGGGAGATAGCGGAGGCTCGCATGGATGGGAGGGAGATACGACGCTGCACTCGATTCTTAACGGAATCGAGAAGCGAAAAATGCTGGTGGGGGATTTTTGGACGTTGCGATTATAGTGAAGTTGTTAGTTTGAGAGGTGAGAGGTTAGTCTTCTTGTTTTGGTTGCTAGGGGCTGCGCCCGAGGTAGTAGTTAGTGGTGATACGAGTATGGAATGAACCTGTCCATGTTTCGGSGACAGATTCACCGGGCTCTGTCGCTCTTGTTGSTGGAGATAGCGTGTGGTCGRTCGCGCTGYGCACGRAGAGARAGAGAAGAGGGGCAGTGGAGTGAAYGAAGYTGGTTRGGATTCGAGCCGGGTGTATTCCAACGCACGAACRGGAGATAGCAGGGAAAARGGAAGGAGGTAGGATATACTTACMTTGCAGYAGAGTACGGGCTACACAGACGCTTCGAACAGGGGAATGTACCTGTCTGCAGTTCTAAGGGAAGATTCATTCTCGTCCCGGTTAGCTAGCGGCGGCGGATGAACCGGYCGGACCGTATGTTCTCGTCATGATTGGCTTAACAGGCGYGTTCGCGGTTGGAGTCCTCGTTCAGACYCAGCCGATCACATTTGTTACCCATGGTCCCGGTCGTCAARGGGCGCTCAGCCTGCTTATCGAAGTGATCATGGCCGGTTAGTGATGCACCTGGCTATGATCTTGGAGAGCGATTCGCTGCAGCAGKAGGCAACCATGGAGTGGGGAATTCATCGGTTAGTAGGTGCACTGCCCATCAAGGAAGCCAGTGCAACGGAAGGGGTGAGCTATAGGCTAGGAGGCTACCTGCAGATTAGACGTGCGGCCCATYCTTCCTGCCGRGATAGCAAGGGACCGGCYGCAGGGCTGGCATGCTTACCCACACAAAGGGAGTTATAAGGATAAGGGAGTGATCAGATAGCGTGAGAAGCRTTCKCTGCTACGRCAGTTRTGCTTCTTGGCTGCGGCAGTATTCAGTGGTGCWCARCTGGCGTTCACCCTGYGTTCTGCCTTGCCTGGGCTTTCGGCTAGAGCCGCTGCCGTACTCGCTGTGAAGTGTTGAGGTTACCAAATAGCGTTGGGTTATTGGGGCGTGTTGTGTCTTGCTGCGGGAGCGATTGGCGTGCATTCGGCTTTGTCATACTACCTTGCTACCCAAACTGGGTTTTTTTCTCTGGGCAGTTAGTCTGATGATTGGTTGCTGTTCGAATGAGGTGTGAGGAGGAGAGCGACTGAATTAAGGAGGAGGCTCAGACTTGAGGAGGGGGGTTGGTGCTACGAACTGGAGGTTGGTCGGGAGGGGTTACTCTAGCAGGTTGACTTTGTTGACCAAGCTGTCAGTTGGCCGCCGTTACGGGGCGCTCAGGCGTCTCAAGGTATCAAGGCCCGCTCGCGCAAGTCTGAGAGCACCCCTCTTGTACCTGAGCGACTCAAACTTTCTCCTTCTGCCCCCCCTTACTCTAAGTCTAGTCTATTGGTTCTGAGAGGAAGGCAGCAGGTGGGATTGCAACCCGTAGGTCCGCATCAAGACTCTGTGGGGAGTAAACCCACCGATTGCGGGAGCTCTGACGGAACTCAGGAGGAGTTCTGGAGGCAGGGAATTGGGAGGTAATCATTGCTTTCCCTCTATAAGCCTTGTTATAACCCCTACTTGTACTTCTGGCTATGTTTTGACGGAGCATACTGAGTGCACCCCTATTTTGACTTTTCAGTTTGACTTTCAGGATAAAAC